GGGTTATTAAAACGCAAAATTAAAACCGCTCGTAATCTCCACCGCGTGCGACGGCAAACAGCCCCTCGGATATTGCAACGATCATGAAGAATAATGAGCGCTGGGAAATTCAATGCCGACGCCCCCGTGTACGCACGCAAGCACACACGCACTTGATAATTTCTTAAGCCGTAAAAACTTTAAACTTTACGCAGGACCTGATCGCTTGTGCAACTGTCAGCCAAGACAATTTCTAGTCTTGTCTTTTTTATTACGCTTGTTCACCCAGGAAAGCCCGAATCTCAAGGCTGTTTTTTTTTATCAGGAGGGTCCTGCCAAGGTTTGCGCAGTAGGGGGCAATGTTGCCGCTGCGTGTAATCCCAATTGAGTAATTTTCAGGTTATGTTTCAGCGTTGGAATGTTTGCTGTCAATGGTGACCGGTCATTATTCATGGCCATCAGCATCGTGAACATTACACCAATTCATGAACCCATCTGTGCAGACTTGCGTGTGCTACAGGTATCCGATGTGAGTTCCGGTTGTACCGCCTATTGTTCAGCACGATGGACACTCATGAGTTCCTCAAGAAGCTGCTAGCACGTGATGTGAAACGTCGGACGTCTTGCTGAACAACACGAGGCACAAACTGAACACACGAGAACTATAGAGCACAACCGTGGAAAGATTGGTGTGTTGATATAACCAGTGTCTGGATGTACCGACACAAATCCCATGTGATGTTGCTTTATGTAATCCCAATTAATTTGTAGATTTTTTTTCCCAGGAATATGACATGATAATAATATATAATAATTACAATTATAGCGACATTAAGAGGCTGAAATTACAATTTACTGTACACTGTGACTACCATTCATTATGAATTACTGCCATCAATTACAAGTGTAATCGACTTCAGATCTCACTTAAAACCCTGCAAGCCTATAGAGATCATTCAAGCAGGGGCGCGAATTCCTTTCCCTTACCGAGGGGCGAACAGGACTTCCAAATACCTTTGGCAGCAACAAAACATTCTCACGCACGCACCTCGGTCACGTCTGCCCCTGCAGGAAGCCCTCGCAGTGACTAGAGTGTCTGAGCACGCGCTGTTACAATTACAAACGATGGGTTGTTGCCATGTAAAACATATTCCCTCCTCTACAACCCAATGAGTGCGGTTAAGACGCCTAGAGTGTCAGCTAAATCTCACGGGTGCTGCCGTTACGAAGTGGTGGTCCACATGTGGCCGCATGACATGAAGTTGCGGGCCATGGCATGTGCCACGGGGGTCTCTGCTCGTGTTTCGCAAGCACCGCTGCGGCACAACGAGAATTGATTCGAATCGAAACGCCAAACCAGACCGCCTCGACAGTCCGTCGAACCGCAAGGGGCGCGAGCAGTTACAGGCTTAGAAATGAGACGGCAGCAGAGTGAAAAATGCGAATTAAGACGCTGTACAAGGAGACAGACGGACGCACAAGGAGAGAGGCGGACACACAACGATAAACACAGTCGGACGCACACGGAGTTGAGAGACAGTTGGTCGCACACAGCGTTAAGAGGCAGTCTCACATTGTTTGGAGACAGCCAGTCACAGCGTTAAGAGACAGTCAGTCACATGCATCGTTTCGAGACAAGCTAAGTGGAAAATTGCACTTGAGGGCTTTACGCGACCGGCCGCAGGATTCTTGGGCAGAGTCGGCCTCTTCGGCCTCAAAACCCCGGGGCGGCGCCACATGGCCACCAGCCACCGGCGGCGATTAGCGAGGAAGCGCCTCACCCCCCCAGGGCAACCCCCCCGCCCTCTATCCCCCCCCCCCCCGCCCGGTACCTTGCCCACGAGTCCCCCAGAAGCGACCCAACTTCTGTGATTGTGACTGACAAGTGACCGATGGGAAGTTCCACGAATGAGGCAAGCTCAGTCAATAAAATAAAATAAATCATCCTATCTGCGAACCAAGTCGCATGTTTAATCAACATGACTGCTGACCAGACCCAAAAAGGTCTACAACATTACAGGATTTGCACACTTCAACAATTGCTGATGGATACTGGGAACGCCAACAGGCCAATGGACTAATAGTATTTATTATGTACATGTGGAGACAGAACAGAGTTCTGCTAACATACTTTTAAGTATGTGGGGCGCTTTTGTCTGCGTATATCAAACGCTGTTCCAATTTTATAAGCATGAAAAAGCACGCGATTAAAGGACTGTGCCATGAGCATAATAATGGATGTTATCAGTGATTTAAAACATTGTTCCATGACGAATGCTTTCATGCATAAATGTACGAAAACTAGAAAATGTAATATATAGGCCACCAAAAATTATAGCCCAGAGGCCGATTGATATCACTCGTAGAGCAGGCTCGGCACAGATTTCTACATTTGCTTTGAGAACTGCGCCAAACGCTGACAAATGAACGGCCTCCATCAGTGAACCAAGTGCTCCACCACCTCCTCCCATGCACTATAACACCAAAACTGCTCAGTGGGGGTCGGTGAAAGGGGTTGCGTGGGGGGCGAGCCCAGGACCGCCACTGATGTCAGCCGTGGCCGGGATTCAAACTCGGGACTCGCCAGGTTCGTGGCGCGATGCGCTATAACCGGTGGCGCCACCAGCCCAGTACAGTGTAGTGCGGGAGTGTAAATGAAGACACTCCATAAGACAGTCTGTCATCTTTAAATGACAAACGACAGAGAGCATTCCACTCAGGGCGTTGTATAAAAGCAGACACGTGGACCCAAGCAGACCTCTGCTCGGTACCATATACCTATATATAGCAGGCTGAACAAAGTTAAATATTGTGCATACACACAGATCCCGTCGCTTATATTACACGCTATGTAGAAATGATGGAAAAAGTGCTGCCCTGCAATTAATTGTTTTTATTCACACGACCGCTGGCCAAAATTGGCTTTCCACGCTCGGGAGACTCGAGGGAGCCTCAATCTCGAGGACATTTAGGCCTGCTCTTCCATCTCCTCTCGGAAGAGTTGGACGTACATTGTGTTTTGTACTTCACCATACGGGGTGACCACTCCTGCAGCCACCGCGGCTGCCGCTGCGTTCCCCGCAACGTTCAAATAGTTACACCTCTGAATTGAATCGCGCACCATTCATCGAATCGTTGGGGGAGGGGACAGCGAGGGGTGGATGGTTACACCTCTGCCATGTTTGACAAAGGCTTCTCTCATGGTCCTACACAGAAGGGGTCAGAAGCGGGGGTGTGGGGGGGGGTACACAAAAGGGGGTCACGGGGGCTGACTGTAACCCCGAGATCCGACACACACACACACAGGGTCCCTTCACGTCCCCTATGCCGGAGTGTCCATTACTGCTTGTACATGACACCTGAATTGAACATCTCTCTCTCTCTCATCGCTGGCCTTGATGTAAGCAGACCAAACGAAGGTTTCGCCTAAGTAAACGTCGGAGGACGTCCAGCTAGGGGAGATGGAGCGATGAATTGGGCTCCCATGCGGGGTTAATTATTACGCAACAGGAGCGTGAGATGGTGGAGGCTTGAGGGAGGCCTTCATCCAGCAGTGGATTGACCCGTGCAAACGAGGGATTTTCTACGGTGGAATAATTTTGTAACTAAAAATATACAAAATACTTGACGATGTATGTTGAATTTCTTCCGCGCCGTACGTAGCCGACCGCGCAAAACCGGAGGTGCGACGATGATTAAAGTTTAACAGTAATTTTCACTCTCTGCACACAAAGAGTTGTCCACACTATAGCAACCCAAAACACTAAGTGCTTGGAAATGCTTTCCACAGTCATCATTATCATCAGCAAGGTATCATTATCGGCAGCAACATCGTAAACATTTCAGCAGATAAAGCCACTGGAGCATCATTGGTGCCCCAGGGTCAAGTAAGAGACATCAGTACAGTGTAAAAAAGACCGACGATACTGTACAATCAATTACACAGTCACCACAATCGTGTAAAAGTCCTAACTCAGGCGAGATTGAAACTACATCATCATCAACATTATAATTATCTGTAGCAACATTGCCATCTCTCCGCCACTATACCATTTAAAATATTCAATGAGAATGCAACGTCGCTGCCACGTTCATTATTAACACTATCATCACCACCACCTTCATTGTAACCATCACCGTTATAATCACCATCATGATTACCACCATCATCACCGGCTAAGATTTTTTTTTAATCGAGGTTAGAGATCTGTGGCGAGATGCGCAACGGAGTGGACAACTACCACATCATCATCTAACATCATCACTAACATCACCGACATCAACCACCGTGTTCATCAAGCGCTATCACGCACCACCACCACCATCATCATCCTGTCGTCTACAATTTTAAGCAAGGCTCACGGTGAGACTCAAAAAGGAAAACCGGTAACAACAACACACACGACACCACGACAATCATCACCAACACTATTCGCCATTCACAATCGAGCACTACTGTACAGCGCAGCACAGACACCCCCCACGTGTAGGGGGACCACCCCGGTTCCCTGGGAACTCTTCACCCCCTTCAAGGGGACCTCAGAGAGACAGAGAGAGAGAGCGCATCATGAAACCCCTCTACGACTCCTGGGGAAGGGGGACAATACGTGGCTCAGGGGGATACCCTGGGAGAGAGATACTCCATGAACTCGTGGCAACTCGAGAGAAACTTTGATACAACTTTGTGGGAACAATGCCGGTGAACCGCGCCAGTACGGGGGGAGGGAGATTGGAGAGACACGGGGACACGAAGGGGCCGTGGAAACAACAAGGGGGGACCCCGACGGGACCCCGATGGGACCCCGCAGGAGATCAAAAACGGACACAAACACGAGAGCTTCACGAGGAACCCCAAGAAGACCCAAAGCAACCCCAAGGAAACAAGGGGACCCCCGAAAACACAAGGGGTACACCCCCCCCCCCTCCATAAAACGTCGAGGGGACCCCCAAATCGACACAAGGAGGGGGGTTCCGTGGGAAACACAGGGAGACGAACAAAGAGGACCCGACGGGGAACTCACCCGCGCGGGCCCCGGCCAGGACGCAGAGCAGTAACAGGACGCCCGGTAGCCTCATGGCGGAGGGGATGGCGAGGGGATGAAGGGGGATGAACCGGGTGGTGAACCGGGTGGTGGACGGGGTAGTGGTGGTGGGGGGCTTTACGGGACGGGGCGGCCAGGCCTCGCTCCCGGGGACGCCGCAGTAATCTTTGCCCTGGCGGCCACGAGGAGGCGTCCAGAAGGGGGGGCCGGCGGGGGTGGGGGGCCCGTCCGTCTCCTCCGTGTGCCCCTTGCGCGTTCCCCTCGCCGGGGTTCCCCGGTCTCCCTCGCCTAGCAGGGACGAGGCGGCTGCGGCGGCTGTGGTAGTGGCGGCTGCTGCTGTCTGCACCTTCCCCCCCACCACCACCACTCGGTTCAATCGCGAACCTCTACCCCGAGCTCCTCCTCCTTTCACCTCTCTTCCTCCTCCTCCTCCTTTACCCCTCCTCCTGCTCCTGCTGCTGCTGCTCAGGGCGCTGCGCTTTGTGCCCGCGAGCTTCTTTTGTCTCTCCCCGCGCTTTCTCTCCACCCCCCACCTCCTTCTCTCTCTCTCTCAACGGGGTCTCTTGGTCCCCTAATCCGTAATTCTGGGTCCCCGGTTCTCAGGCTTTGTTTCCCCGAGCCGCGTCGCAATCTAGGGGGTTCACGTGGAGTGAGGTGAGGGGGGTTGTCCTCCACGGCGCTCGCAACGGGGTCCCCCATCCCACCCAGATTGGTTCTTGGATCAGAACAGTCGCAGTTCGCCGTTTCGATCCTTTAAAACAAAACAAAAATCGGTTCTGAACAGAACGAAACAACGGAGCCAGATTTAATTTAAGAAACTTGGCCCGTTCGTTTCCGACGTTTAAACCCCCCACCCCACCACCACAACAACACACACAACCCCGGTCTAATCTGCACCCTGACCAGCTTTCACGGCAGACTCGAGGACTTTTTTTTTCAGAACCCAATCGTCGCCAGATCCAAACCGAGATGTCGACGCGAGCCGGGCCACAAGCCTCGTGGCACCCCCACAGCCTCCCCCGCGTTGCCATGACACCCCGGAGCCCACGAACTGTGAATTAGCGCTTTATTCTTGCTCGCATTCTCGTACGGGCGCTGCGCCGTGGCACCGCCGCCGACTGGGCACAAGTATGATTCGCGTTGCAAGTGCCTCTCTCTGGTGGCTTATGGGGTTGTTTTTGTTAAGTTGTCAGTTGTGAAAGTTGCGAGGACCGATCGTCAACGCCGACGGCGAGGAAGAATTCTGCCGCCATTTCCGCGGCGGCGGGTCGCCTTTTATAGGCGAGGCCGCGTCCTCGACGTCACCGCACCTTCATTTCCACTCGCCAATCGGGGAGTCCGCTGCTGAGCCTCGCGACGATGCCCATTGGTCAAGACGGAAGCGGGAGGGGGGGGTGTTTTGAGGGGTGGGCCGTTGGGCGTGGTTAAGTTAAGTGGGGGTGGGGCCTAGGCGAACCGCGTGGTTTGAGGTCTGGAAAGTTTAAGTTCACACCCAGCACTGTGTCACTGCTAAGATTAATATAAATTATTTTTATTTTACCATGTAAAGGCGACTGAGATAGAAGCGACCTGGCCACAAATGATAGATGCATGTGTTTACACGGGGTTTTCTCGCGAGTTGTGTAAGACCATCTTTGCCGTTCTGCAAATTCAACATTGTAAAATAACTGCTATCAAAATCACTTTCATCGACATCCATATTTCCAATTGCCGAAGCCGTCCGAGGCTGATCCCCGGAATAGATGACCCCACCATGGCTATTGTGGGGTCGCGGGTGGTTGGCGAACTGTGCAAAATATTTCATGAGAAATTAACCCCTGCCCATGACAATAAATTGTGATAACCCATAATCACCTGTGTAGAGGCCATATCAATATATACAGTAAAAACATTTTTAGTGGTCCCATGCTCTTCTAAATAAAACTACGATGTTTCTAATTCCACGTTCCCATACAAGTGCCAAAATAATAACCAAAACAAATGGTTTCTAGAGCTTGGTCGAGTCTGAGAAGTTTTTTTCAAGATGGTTCTGCCACTGGTTGTTTTGTCAGTTCCAGTGTTGTGTGTGGAAGCAGAGGCATCGTTACTTCTGGACGAAGGCCTCCCTAAGTCATCACCCATCTCCCACGGCCTCGCCATGCAACAATCCGTTCCTGTTGTGTGCGAGCAGACCACATCGCTCCGTCTCTACAGCGGTTATATTCTCGCAGACCTCCCTCCTTTGCTATTCCATTGTCCATCTCGGCCATCATATTGTATAGCACGGTAACATTTGGTGCTTTCAGAAATCGTGATAGAAATTAAAGCATGAACGTAAATGGAGCAAGTATTGATCATCTCAGATTTACTGCTAACATACAAATCGATGGAAATGAATTCCAGGAAATGAGTGAAGGCCTTAATTAAGATGCTGTATATTTGGGCTCAATGTTTATATGCGTGAAAAGTCACGTACACGTTCGCTAAACGATATCAGCTGGATGGACATCTAGAAAACATACCTAGGGAAATGTTGAAGGTTTAAACCAGTACCCACAAAAAAACACACACATTTGTGACACCGAAAGTTCCACACAGATGGATTAAATAATCCAGTGTTATACTTCCATTTGGTCATCTTTCACCACTACAGTGTTCAGGGTAACGCTGAAATCCAGGATTCTTGGGAGAATCCTATCTCGTGGTGGGGGGGGGGGGATCATAAGGGGCTGGGTGACCTCTCTGGAGATTAAAAACCAAGACACTTTTCTTGATTAAGTGGAGACTACGAGCCCCCATTAGTTTGGCCCCGGGTCGGGGAGCACGGCAATTTGAAGTTGGAGTCGCCGCGAGCGTGACAGATGAGCCTGGCCCTGCCACACGCTCGTAACGAGCACCCAGGAGCGAGATCAGAACGCTTCCGTTGTGTTCATTATGGACACCCGGAAACACTCATCCAGCCATGACCGCACAGCACAAATTTCACGAGCGTCGGTGGCCATAGGGGGATCCGAGAGCCCATAATGACCACGAGTGTGATTCTCAGCCACAGTTAGCATCAGTGGTGAGTGATCTAAATGGGTCCCGGGTAGTACCCCCCCCCCCCCCATTCACCAACCCGCACGGAGCAGTGTGAAGTATGGTCAAACACCACGGAGGTGGCCGGGTGGCTCGAGAGATTAGAGCACTGAGCCAGCATGACTGAGACCCTGTATTCGAATCCATGTTCACGCTGCCTGTAATTACACTTGGGCTGTCAAGTGTAGGGAGTTGATAGTGTCCTGGAAACACTTAGAAACCCACGGTTATATATTTTAAGATAACGCATTCTAGCACCATTAGAACACTGTACGATCCACTTTTCATGCTAATTGTATCACCTCCCCACTGATGAGAGGCCAGATAATTAATATCCAAATTCATTTTTTACATCCACGTAATCCGTACACTCTCAACAAAAGCCTACTACTCTGTAGACAGTGAAATTGTGTAGGCTATGAAGATTTTTCAGGGCAGCCCTCAATACACTTTATCAGGGTGTGGGGAAACACACAAATGATCTTCAAAGAACGGTTTTATTAAATAGCTTTGTTTAATGCGACGCATGGCGCTGAGCGGGCGTGCTGCCCAGCAGTCAGTAAGGTACAAAAATGAGGACACGGAATACACGAGAGAACACAGCGCTGTCTCAACTCTATGCAGAGCCCGGTGCACATGGGGAAGAGGGGCCCGAGAGACAGACACAGAGACATGAACTCACACAGAAATGGACAGAGATACACAGATTGACAATGAGAAACACAAAGAAACAAAGACGTCAAGAGGCGTACAATTTGACCCAGAAACAGAAATATAAAAAAATAATGAGACACAATAAACAAAGAGAGCAAGAACCAGCGATCGAAACAAAAAAAAGCATGGAGACACAGATACACAAATAAACACACGCAGGCACAAAGTAACAGTAGGCATGTAACAATGCATCGATTCACCAATTCACCTTGATTGTTACGCTCAAGATATATGAAATCACGAGTACAATAATCCATTATTTCCGATTCGTATGTGATGTATGCAATCGGTTTATGTAAACTCTGCAGCCACTGCAGTCGGCTACAATCACCAACGTGCCAATACAAATCGTCGTCGATTCTCAGGTTTCAAATCGTGACCCTCGAATTGCGATAATCCATCGAGTCGCAAGGATGGAGGGGGTTGGGGGAGGCGAACCGTTACATGCCCAAGAGAGACAAATCATTTTGGGTCCCCTTAAAGGAAGCGCTGTGAGCCCGCCGCACAGCTGTAAAGATGGCACTGTGTACGCACGGGGAGGGCAGTTGTTCCTCTGGAGCGGAGAGAGGAGCCACGCAAGGTGTACGAGAGAGGGAAGTGGAAAAGGCTCGGCGCCCAATTAATACTGCGATCTCCAAAGTCAATCAATCAACGCGGCGGTGGCTGTGTGCAATTAACCCTACGGATTACAAAAAAATCAAAGATATATAAAGTCTTCGGTATTATAAGTGTTTGTTTCTTACAAAAAGGTTAACGGGAATAAATGTAAAGTAGTGTAGTGTGGTGGCGTCGCGGTGGCGTAGTGCAGTGTCGTGAGTAGAGCTGGATCTTTCAACACTCGGCAACTTGCCCGTCGTCTTTGCCTTCATACAGCAACTTGGTGGCCTAAAGACGAGACGCGTTGCCCGAATGAAGCACCATCACTGCGAGGATGAACCTCACTCATTAGTACTGCACTGTCACCTTGGCCAACGCCGCGCTCGCTACAACATCGCGACATTGTCAGCAAACTCGCCACCACAATCACTACCATCGCCACCACAATTATTATGAGCACCATCTTGCTACAACCACCACAACCACCACAATCATCATCACCACATCTATCACAAACACCATCTCAATTATCAACAACAGCAGCAACTGCAACAACAACCATAATTCGCCAAGAAGTGACGGTAATGTGACCACAGAGCTTGTGCCAAGCTAGGTGCACTTTTAAGCAGGAGGACACGAAACAGACTCCGATGATCGGGGTTGACTGAGACACACAAGCAGTGCCCTCGCCCCCCGTGGGTGCACGTGCTGCGTACCCTGTGCATGGCGGTGAGCCACAGCGACGCCTGCTTGCGGTCGTCGCTGTACTCGGGCACGCGCAGGGAGAGGCAGTGCAGGGGGGCCTCCCCTTGCACCGAGTAGCGCAGCGCCATGCCCACGAGCCGCCCCCCTCCACTGCCTGCACAAGATACAGGTAGACAAAACGCAAAGACACCTAGATACAGGTAGATAAACACACAGACACGCAGAAGCGGTCGTGTGGCCAGAATCACGCCCGGCCATCTTTGTGTCCCCAGTGCTGAAGTTTACATACAACACCAGGTACTTATTTAAGGCTGAGTCTACCTACAGGAGGCCCAGGACTGGTTCAGATATTCATCACCGATGTAGGTTGTGAGCGGGAATTGAGCTCTGGTCACTGGGTTTGTTGTGCGGTACTATAACCACTAGACTATTGCTCCACCCAAAATCATACGCACACACGTAAAGACGCGCGTGTCTACCATTCACACAATTCACCACTTATTGTGGACATCCATTCTGATTAAATTGTCGTGATTCAGGGTCACGATTCATTTTAAGAATGAATTGTTTTGTCTCATTTGCACCGTCTCGCTTATTCCGTCTAGCGCGCCTGAGAGAAGTGGGCATGGGCGTGGGCACGACCTGTTCAACGAGACCGAGTGGCAGCCAGAGGTGGAAACACATCCAAGAGGGCATCCACCAGAGAGACAGAGTAATTAAATCGGCTGATGTGCATGTGCTAGGTGTATTACATTGTAGGATCATGAGCTAAAAAAAAACTACAAATCAAGTAAATGTTACTTGTCATACATCCCAATGCTGAAAAAATACTTGCAGATTACTCAATTGGAATTACATACAGCAGCAACATCGCCCCTCACTGCGAAAACTTGGCAGGACCCTCCTGTGACGAACAAGTGTACGCATAGTGATGAATAATAATGCTGAGGGATGGCGACGGCTTTGGGGAGCCCTCACCCAGCAGTGGATTGATGACGGCTGACGATCACTAAGATGATGAAAGGGAAGAACCAATCGTTACTCGCCCATCAGTCACAGTAATGAACCCCACACCTCGTCCTGCTCCGTACAGGTTCCTGGAGGTGCTGGCTAACACCACCGCTCCACATCGGCCCCCATTACCCCTAATAGACCTCGTTAGGGAGGGGATTGCTGCTGCGTGACCTTG